TTCAACTTTTTACTTGTTGTTGGAATGGACCGGCAAATTCCAAGATCCTTACCTCCTGGATTGGGAAACAGAAGTCCCCCATATTGTTTAATTTTCATGATGAGAATCCAAGGAGATTGGTATTATTATTTAGTAGAGGAAACAAAAGATGTTTTGAGTCTTGCCAAACATCTTGAAGACAGTGGAGTCAGAATCTGAATCAACACAACCTGACCCTGGGGTGACTCCAAAGCCGATCCTCTTTATCAGAAAACAATGCTTATCTTTTAGATACCCAGTGTTCTGTTCATTTGTTGAAACTTTCCATTGGGAAGATTTCTCTTCTTTATCCATGCATTCTAATGGAGGACATTTTTAGGGGCCGAGAAGTCCCTTCTGAGGTTTCATATGTATCTCTTCATGTGACTGTGGACATTCCGCTCTCCATACTTCTGATGCAATGAGGGCAGCCTTTGGCACTATCTTTAAAACATCCCTGCTCATCTCCCTTGGGATCCTGGATGTTGGATCTAGCCCTCTGAGTTCAGGAGGAAAAGCAACTTAAAAAATGACACAAATGTGTCTAGGACCAAAAAAAGAGTACAGTTATCACCCAGGTAGATGTATACAGGGAGAACTTACACTAGATTCTCTTGTAAAGTAAGCTAACTCCATTATCTACATCCCAAATTGCCTTCTTGCCATATGCTATTGTGATTTGTTTCTCTTACCCCAGACCAGTCTGGAATGACTCAGTCAAGCTACCACCTGGTGATTTCAGAGCTGAAGAGACTTCTGGCCACCATGCCTACTTAGAAGTCCCTATAATAAGTATAGTTATTACAGAGAAACTTGGGGAATTTTACTGCATGTTCATCAGCCAGCAAGATAGTCTGAGCATGCAAAAAAAATCTGATTTATGAGATGGTGGTGGGGTGGTTAGGAGAGTGGATGTTATCTTACCAATGATTTCTCTGGTTTCAAACCTTATTTTCAAGGCTGCTTATTTATTCTTTTGCACCACAAAAGACAATGAGGTTCTGAGATATTCTTATCTGATCTCTGACATAAGAGAATAACGAGACCAAAGTCATGGACTTAACGCAAATTGAAAGAGGCTTCAACAAGTGATATCTGAGGCATAGTTCTGTGATCTAGAAGTGGAACTCCAGAGAGTGAATTTCTAGGAAGTTCACCAAGCCCCAGTGGATGTGATGCTGAGTCCCAGCTGGCAACAGGGGTATGAGGGCTGAGGAACAGGGAAGAGAAGAGCAAAGTCTATCTAGGTGCCATCACATGCTGCATGAGGTGGCTGGGTTGTCCAGTTCTCTCAGGAGTCTGCCCAAAGCCTGCCCACTGTCAGAGTCCATGTTCTTGGAGATCCCTGGGTAAGGGAATATTTCTCAGACTTTAATTTCTTCAGTTGATTGAGCTCTTTAGTACTTTATTGAGAAAGCCTACATCTACCTAGTAAAACTATCCAATATGACTGAAATAAAGATGTCTCCTTTCTCATTTATTGGTCAAGGACTGGTATAGTCTGTTTCCAGAGTTCCTGAATCTCTTGTCTCTTTTCACTACCTCCCCTGAAGGTCAGTGCACTACACAGAATGGACATTATTTAACAGGATGCTGTGGCATCCTAGGTCACAAAGACAAATATTTTAGGTTTTCATTTGTTTTTCTGTTCTCTCATGTCTCTGACATTGGCTCTGTGAACTAACGTTAGTTTCCCAAGATCCCTTGCAGTGGTGCATGAGTTAGGCTATACCAGGACCACCCCCGCCCCATAATCCTTTTTGATCCTGTGAAGCTGCCATCTTTTCCAAGGCACATTGTTGCTACTCCAATCAGTGTGTTGAGGGCCTTCTTCACACTCCTGCTCACTTAGGCCTCCTGTCCCACAGTGCAACTGTGACTGCTGTGTCAGCCAGGCAGATGCCCTTAGACATGGCACCTCCTTAGTATGTCCCTAAATTTTAGCATAAGCACCCCCATCCTTGCTGCCAAATTAAGACCCCTTCTTGGCCTCAAAATGACCATCAGCCCAACAATGCAGGAGCCAATTTTAACTTTTAACTGAATAAAAGGTTAGGATCTAACACAAGGGTCATGGTCAATTATCTTTTTACTTTTATCAACCCATTAACAATGACATCTAACTTAGTCTCCCAGGCCTCTTTTCAAAGACCACAATCCTATAAACAGTCTACTACTCTTTAAGCATTCTAACTACACTAGTTTTACTTTCCTTCTTTTATCTGGTCCGTCTGTTCTGCCCTGTCTCATAGATAGGGAATATGATTTTTGTTGGGGAATATTTTATATGGATAGCTCTTCTGTCCAGAGCGCAAATTTCCATGGTTATCTCATAGAGATATAGAGGATGTAAAAAAATATAGCTATTTAAGTCATTACTGATATTCCCTTTAAAGATCATTTATTTAGAGAAGAATCAAAGGAGCTGATTATTTGGAAGTCTGGGTGTTCACTTCCCCTGTATTCCGGGTTCTGAATACACCCCAGTATAGGCAAACAGGACTGTCTAATACCACCATAGTTTATTTTCTCTTTATAAATATGTAGGTGGGATATAGTCCATACATTTGGATTAGGCAGATGGCTATAGCATTAAGAGTTATGACCAGAGAGGCTGCTGCAGGACTGTGTTCTCTTTCTGTGTCTCCCATGCTATCTAATGTTCTCTTGACCTTGGTTATGTGGGATAAGCTGGGCAAAAGTGGAACTGTACTATGGCGTGAGTTCACGCAGCAAAGTGTTGACCCAAGAATGATAGGAGACTTTTCATGTCTTTTGGCTTAGGTAGTGACCAGTTCAGCTTGGTTCTGTCCTAACTCACTGTTTTCCCTCTGGGACTTCTATACTTCTCCATATGTGGCAGTGCAGTTTGATCCAGCTTTGTCTTTTTGGATTAATTCATTTAACAAGTATTTACTGAAAGCCTTCCATGGTGTTGGGCATGGTTCCATGTGCAGGGAATGAAGAGGTGACCACAACTTATAAATGTGGCTGTGCAGCTAAGATTAGCAATAAACAAACAAAGGATAAGTTAACTGCCGATTGTAGTAAGTGCTGGGAGGGGAAATAAAAACAGGGTAATGCGATGAGTAAAGTAGAGCCTATTCTAGATAGGACAGTCAGGGAACTCTCACTTGATTGGGGCAGTGACTTTTAAACTGAGATCTAAGTTTCTAGAAAGAGCCAATCATGGAAAGAGATTGGGGAAGGACATTTTATGTAGAGGGGATAGTAAAGGTGACAGTCCAGAGGCAAAAAAGAGTTTGGCTTGTTTGAGGAATAGAAATGAGGCATTATGGCTGGGGCATAGTGAATGAAGGGGAGAGTGATAAAGGATTTGCAAGAACATGATCCTGCAGTGCCTTGAAGAGCTGACGATCAGTGTAGAACTGATACTGAGTGGAATGGGAAGCCGCAGAAAGGCCTTAAACAGGTGAGGTATAGGATTTGCTTGTACTTAAAAAATCTATCAGGTTGTTGTATAGAGAACAGAATGTAACAAGGAGTGAGAGAACATGGGGAAACCAGTTATGAAGTTATTTATTTAGGGCACTGGAAATTCATCCTTAACTTTCTCGTTGACTTCAAGCGTCAGATCTTATTCAGCTGGATGCCCCTGCTCTAGAAGTCTATTTTTGCTGACTACTAGTCTGGGGAATATTTACTCTGGTAGGGCATCTATTCATTTTTCCATCTCTCCTTTCACTCACGTATCTTCAGTCCATCCACCCATCCATCCATCCATCCATTCATCTATCCATCCATCCATCTGTCCATCCCACAAATGTTTATTGAGATGCTGCTATATGCCAAGCCCGGCACCAAGTATATAGTTTCTTGCTCAGAGCCATGTACAGTCTATTAGTGGTGAGAGACAAATAAATAAACATAACACATTATAATAAGGATTGTAATAGTATAATGTGCAAAACACAATAGGAAACACTTAACAAGTAGCCAGGTAAGAATAGGTGACACTTGAACAAGGTCTTGAAAGATGAATAGGAATTTGCCAAATAATAATAATGAAAGCTACTATTTTTTTTTAAAGGAACATTTATTTATTTATTGGCTATTGGCTGTGATGGGTCTTCGTTGCTGCACGCAGGCTTTCTCTAGTTGCGGCGAGCAGGGGCTACTCTTCATTGCCACGCGCAGGCTTCTCATTGTGGTGGCTTCCCTTGCTGCGGAGCACGGGCTCTAGGCTTGCAGGCTTCAGTAGTTGTGGCTCGAGGGCTCTAGAGAGCAGGCTCAGTAGTTGTGGCACACGGGCTTAGTTGCTCTGCAGCATGTGGGATCTTCCAGGACCAGGGATCGAACCTGTGTCCCCTGCGTTGGCAGGTGGATTCTTAACCACTGTGCCACCAGGGAAGTCCCAAAGCTGCTATTTCTTAAACACACTAGAACTCTGAACTTTACATACATTATCTCAATCTTTCTCCCGTCCTAGCGAGCTAGGTAGTATAATCCCCATTTTATAGACAAGGACATGGAAGAACAGAGAGATCAAAAAACTTTCCCAAGTCACAGTCCTGTTAATCCTATGTCTGTATGACTCCAAAGCCTATGCTTTTAACTATATTATTTCCCTATTATCTACAGATAGGAGTATAATTTTTGTTGGGGAATATTTTATATGTATAGCTCTTCTGTCTAGAGTGCAGATTTACATAGCTGTTTCACAGAAACGTAGTATATTCAAAAATTTTAATCCACTAGCTACTTCTGTCATTATTGATCTGCCCTTTTAAGATGTCTTCATTCAGAGGAGGATTTTAGGCAAGAGAACAGCATATACAAGGCAGTGAGGCAAAGAAGAGCATCGGCACATTTGAGGAATGTGAGGGATTTGGGGTGGAGTGGTTGAGGGTGCAGGGGATGAGCCTGTGGACAGGATGGGACCGAGGCAGGATGGCATCACACGCCCTATTAAGATTTTGTCTTCTTCCTGTGGGCGAACTCAGCAGTCAGTCCCTTCACTCTCTTTCTCTACATCCTGGAGAACTGGATCAGGTCCCGACTGATCTCGGCAACCGACCGGCAGCCTAAAAGAACCATGTAGTTAAAAAGCTCATTTCTCTAAAACCCCAGTCACCTGCCCCACTGTGGGGAAGAGATGGTCTAGTGGGAACAAGCTTGACTTGACCCTTGTGCTCACCCTGATTAAATGTTATGTATACAGAACGAACCATCTAATTCTGATTGCACTGGGAATTATTTCGTGAGCCTGTGCCTGTGTCTTCTTTTCAAACAGCCATGTCAAAACGGCATGGTAAAAACGTAAAAACCATATTTCGGCCTTTTGAAAAATCACTTTGTGTGCAGTGGATACACTTGACCTTTATCTCTGTCGTGATAAGGCTTCAGGACACAGGAAGTATCTGTCAGGGAGGCATATGACTCAGGGAAAGCAGACAAGATAGGGCGAGTGTTTCATACAACTGCCTTCTAAGAAGTTTTGTAAAACACAACACCCGTCTTTGGTGGAGGAGCTTCATTAAAATGCAAAACTGAGACTGTCACTGAGATGAGACACAGGGATTGGAGACAGTGACTCCAGACAAATGTCAAGAGAGAAGGGAGAAAGTGAGAACATGAGCTGGAGAACTGTAGGCGCAGAAGACAGTGAGAAATCACTGGTGATAAGAGGATGTATAATGTTTCACTTGAAGTTCTTTCCCCATCTGTGATGTATGCACCGTCACCTCCCAAAACCTAACTAGCAAATTGTATTACTCACAAAAGTATAACTAATGAGAGGGTCTTTCCCAAAAATGGAAGCGGAGGAAATGGTTGAGCTTCATGCCCGCGTGGATTATAAGGGACAGAAACGGCAGGTGTGGAATACATAAATAACCCGTAAAATGAATTAAGTCAGCAGAAGCAGGAATTCAGAGCCAGAGGTGCTCTCATCAGAACTGACAATGAGTTTGAGAGCTCTGGGTTTCCACAGGGCAGACAGAATAGTGCAGCTTCAGAGCAGGCAGACCTCCTCAAGGAGCACAGAGATGCCAAAATATAATCTCTGCCTGTATATTGTAGTAGAAATAAATATTTAAATTATGTAAAAATGTCTCAGTAGTTGCATCAAAGTGTTGTGATTCCATTTTGAGATGTGAATTATCTGTTCACATTTAAGCCCTGGTGATATCTGTGTACTTGTTATACTTATCAGTATAAACTCATCAGAAGGGGTCTGGGTCCCACAAGGTACCAGCGACATTGCCTTACTCTTGGTAGAGGTTCAGGAAATGTTTAAGAGTGAATATGCATAATTACAATGTATTCCTGCTTTTTCATTACTGTAAATTATGTGGATATTCACACTAAAAAGCTTTGGCTAAATTAAAGCAAAGTGGTGAATTCCAAGCAATAAATCTCAAGACGATTCATATTCTCCTCTGATTTAGCCGCCTCGCCTTACGAGGGATGAGAACTGAGTGAGGTGTGCGCAGGCTTGTGCTGATATGATACGTGCACCTTTTTGTTTTTTAAGACAAATCACAGTTTTACCCTTTCTATAAATATAATGTCAGCAATTGGTCTCACAGTTAGAAAAACGTTAATTTTAAACTTCTTTTGCTTTCAACCGTAGTGCGAATAGCGTCTCAGGGTTATAAGGGAAAAATATCACACATTTCTAGGGGAATTAGGGAAGAGAAGTCATATTGACTGATCACCTCCTGGGTGCCAGGTTTGTGTCAGGGCGTCTGAGATGCAGTGTGCAGGGAAAAGCTAAGGGGTGACAGAATCTCTGGGGTTTCACATTATGATTTCGCACTTTAGTGAGTTCCACCAAAAACACAGTGCCCCCTTCAGCTGAGACCCCCTCTCTCCGGGGACTAGACTGTGGGGCGTCTTTCCTGGGGGAGAGACACACACAGAGGATGCCGAGGGATGGCCGTCGGCCTAGGTTTTCTATTCTTCCTCTTCCTCCCCAAACCCTCCTCTCCATCCCACATTTGGTTGTTGATTAGTAATTTTTCTATACATTTAAAACAATACATTCTCACTGTAGAACCATTAGAAGGAAAGGAATATAAAAAGTCAGGCATAAAAGTGTTCATAATCCTGTTTTTTCTTTCTTTTTTTTCCTGCCCCCCTTTAAAAAAGGGTGCTCTCCATGCTCTATTTAAGAAAAAGATTTTCCAGCCCCCATTTCCACCCCAATGGTTGTTAAGTATAAACTTTTGGTGGAATAAAAAAGCTTTGTTATTGTGAATTCCCCCAACAGGCTTCTGTTAAAGAAGTTCAGATATCATTTCACAAGGACAGGAGAAAATATTTGGGGGAGCAGGAGAAGTCACCTCAATCTCCTGGAATCTGCAGAAACCATAGGTCTTCCCATCCCTCTGCCCACCCCAACCCCCCACCCGCGAGGGGCAAAACACACCAATACGATATTTGTTCACACTTGTGTTCTCCCCTCCCTCATGGGAGCGACTTGGGTCATTTATTGCCTTATCTTCATAGGCTCTGGCCCAAAATGGACAGTCCCGGTCCTTGACGCCTTAATCCAGTTCCCTTTTTTTTCTTTTAAACTGCTAAGTGGAAAGGGGCTGGTGCTGGCATTAATGCCGATCTAAGTTTTCTAGCTTGTACTACTCAAGCCCAAAAGGGTGAGTCTGCAGCCCCAGTGGACACTATGCAACTTGGACGCTGAGTACAAGATACTTGTCCAAATATCAGATCAAAACCAGACTTGAAAAGACCTGGACTTGTCTTGCCTTGTGCCTAGCACATGTCAGATGCTCAGTAACATCATCTACAGAAATAAGTTAATGGCGTGAAAGCAGTCTTGACTCCACTTCAGAGCTCTTGATTCATTATTTCCTTACTTCTGGAGGAGGAGGTTTCTGTTATTACCATATTTTAGAATTGAGGCGTGGGTGGAGGTCTTACTGGGGTTCGTCTTGTCTGTCTCTCACATTGCAATTGGTTACCATCTATACAATCTATTACCATCTATAGCAGACAGTCAAAGACAGAGCTATTGGCCATTGGCATTTGGGCAGGACAATTCTTTTCTGTGAGACGGCTCCAAGCATTTTAGGATAGTTAGCATTTCTGGTCTTTGAGCACTAAATACCTCCAGTACCCATCCTGCATCATTGTGCCGATGAGAAAAAAATAAACTGACCCCCCGAACAAAACGCCCCTGAAGAGAGAAGTTACCATCATTAGTTGAGAGCCACTATTTTACAGGATCCTTGGGATTCCAGGCTTTGCTAAACACGTATGTTATTTTGTTTTGTTTTGTTTTTGCGGTACGCGGGCCTCTCACCGCCGTGGCCTCTCCCGTTGCGGAGCACAGGCTCCGGATGCGCAGACTCAGCAGCCATGGCTCACGGGCCCAGCCGCTCCGCCGCATGTGGGATCTTCCCGGATCGGGGCACGAACCCGCGTCCCCTGCATCGGCAGGCGGACTCTCAATCACTGCGCCACCAGGGAAGCCCAACACGTATGTTTTTATGAGCACCGCTTTACAGTCATCTCATTTTTGACTGAAATAGCCTGCCTGTAACTTCGAGACATTCATGCTTGTCTTGCTGTCTGTGGTTACGCAGGATGATGCGTCTCCTTCTCCCCGTTCTGTCCTCCTGTTTGTTTCTATTTCCCCAGCTCCTCCATGCTTCCCCTGTGACATAATTTCTCTACTCTTCACAGTCCATGGATATTACTTAAAAGATGACACACAGAACCACATCTGACAAACCTGATAGGATCTGAGCAGGCCAGAGTAAAATGGGACCCTCTTTCCCCAAATCTGAAATTGCATTTGATTTTGTAGTAGATGTATCACATTTTGAGTTTGTGCTGAATCTTTGTCTGGCACATTTCCTCCCTGTTCTTTCCTTTGGGCAATCACTGGGTCTGGGAAAGGCGAGCTAGAAGGGCCACTGCTCCTGTTCTTTAGACGGCCTGTTTTCAGTTCTGAATCAGGAAAAGAATTATAAAAACTTACCTGTCAGGGTCATGGAAGTGTGGAATTCATTTTTTAAAATGTTCAAAACTTCCTCAACACCATGTTCACCCTGCTCCCAAGACAGAGAGAGAGAGAGAGAGAGAGGAGAGAGAGAGAGAGAGAGAGAGAGAGAGAAAAGGAGAGACAAAAGGAGGCATGAAGGAACATTCTGACTATGTGCTGAGTATAAATTCTAGGTGAGCTCAGAGCTGTGCTGGGGAGGATGGGGCTACCTGTGAAATTAGAACTATGTTGGGAATAATGGAAAGCAAAGAGGAAAATGTAGGGTGACAGCTCTTGAAAATGGACAACATGCTGCCGAGGAAGCATGGTGGAGCTGGAGAGGGGTCACTGTCCTTTAGGATCTGTGGCACCTTCCAACAAACGGCCAAGCTGGGGGGTTAAACCACAGAAATGCGTGGAAACGAATGAGAAGCGTGGTACCTTCCGGCTGTTTTTCACTTTGCCACTCTCACCTTGTAGGCAAGACCCCATAGGATGGGTCTCCCCAGAAAAACACATTTAGCCCCGAGGGCCAGAGCTTTCAGCACATCATTGCCGGTTCGGATGCCACCATCCAGGTACACTTCAATTTTCCCTTTCACAGCAGCCACCACTTCTGTCAAGGCATCGATCTGAAAAGGACAGACAAGTGTGGGTCGAGGGATTCCCCTTTTGACTCTCAGGGTGTCAGGGGACAGCAGTGCCCCCTCAGCATGGGCTGGCACCAGGAGGTCCAAGCGGGGGCGATGCCTAACTGTTCCTCCCCTTCCGTGCTTGAGGCTGCAGATGCCTATCAAAGCAGTGCAGCCACATTCCCAAGGTCCAGGGACTTTCTGCAGGCTCCCCGTTCTGCCGTTTTCTGCTCCGACAGAGATGGAGCAGAAACCTTTTTGTTCCTCTTCACATCCCCTAGGGGACATTTTCCATTTGTAGTGCTCACTTTAATGCTCTTCTTTTTATTGGTTTTTTTTTTTTTTTTTGGTTTTTGGGGGTTTTTTTTTTTGCAGTACGTGGGCCTCTCACTGCTGCGGCCTCTCCCGTTGCGGAGCACAGGCTCCGGACGCACAGGCCCAGCGGCCATGGCTCACGGGCCCAGCCACTCCGCAGCATGTGGGAGCCGCCCGGACCAGGGCACGACCCCGCGTCCCCTGCATCAGCAGGCGGACGCTCAACCACTGCGCCACCAGGAAAGTCCAATGCTCTTCTTTTTTTTTTTTTTTGGTTTTTGGGGGGTTTTTTTTTTTGCAGTACGTGGGCCTCTCACTGCTGCGGCCTCTCCCGTTGCGGAGCACAGGCTCCGGACGCACAGGCCCAGCGGCCATGGCCCACGGGCCCAGCTGCTCCGCGCCACAGGGGATCCTCCCAGACCGGGGCACGAACCCGTGGCCCCTGCATCGGCAGGCGGACTCTCAACCACTGCGCCACCAGGGAAGCCCCAGTGCTCTTCTTTTTAAAGAACATTTTGACTTTTGATTTTCTTCCACTTTTTCTGTTTCTAAGGTGGCACAGCTAGAAATGCTTTCCATTGCTAAGGCCCTAAGTCTTTTTGGCGAAGCAAGTGTGATCGGCCATGACCCTAGTGTCTGGACCACAGCCTGTTCAGTGTAACTGGGCTGTACATCATTCCTAATACACCACATTTGAGCAACATGTTCCTGACTCCTTTGGGGGTTATCTGAGACATGGGATAGGTATGCAGCAGCAGCACTGTAAAACTAGAGTTGAAGACTTCGAAAGACAAAATAGAAACAGCTGATCATTCTGGCCTGGTTGCTCCACTGGACCGTTTCTCTCACCTTGTCTCTTTCATTCCAGGATCTTTGGTCAACAGGCCTTGTGGACCTAAGGTGCCCCAGACCAAGCTGTGTTCCTCCAAGTCTATAAGGAAGGGTGACTGCAGAGTCTAGGAGGAGGGTCCTGGAGGAAAAGGTTCTGGAACTGCCTCGGGGGCTCCTGTTCTGTGCCTCATTGAGGAATGACCAGAGAGGAGAAGTAGAAATTGGGCCCCTAAGAGGACTTGTGCTGCCGAAGGCATCCATTGGAATTCTACCTGAACGAATCGCTGAGACTGAGCAGAGTATGAAATCAGGGAGGAAAGAACTTTGTACTTTAATTTACAAGTGGAGGAGAATTGAATACCTTGTGACTTACATGTGAAGACTGGAGGGAATTCACATCCAAATAAGGGGTATTTTTACAGCCCCACCATGGCACTATTTGGAATATTTCTACAAACACTTTCTACAAATATTGCGAGAAATGAATAAATATACTCGTGCAAGGACTCTTCTAAGTGAGCCATAGTGCACAACGGAGCTGACAGTAATTTGAGAAACAGAATAGGGAGTGACTTTCAGCCTAGGGTTCAGTGTGGTTTGAGAGTTAATTTTTGATAATCCACAACAGGGCATTCATTAGAGCCTTCTGGCGATAAAAGCTGGCTGATCCTTTTCCCTGGTTCCAGGAGGACATACTGGGGTGTTAGATATGGAATCTTATAGAGATGGAACTTCGCTCAGAGAGTCACATCCCTCACAAGGAGGGGACTGGGTTGAGAAGACTGAGGAAATTAACCCCAGCACAAAATTTAAGGGGTGCCAAAAATATAAATAATATTTGAAGACAAAATTTTAAAAAATCAAAGGGCAAACTTTGACCTGTGAGCTGAGGGCTTGTTTTGGTAAATAAAGTTTTATTGGAACCAGGGCCAAGATTACAGTGAGATGAGTGAGGCAGTGTTATGCAAGTGCAGGGATGGATCCTGTCTTTATTAAAAATGTTCACCACGGATTTCTTTGCATTAAATTTCATTTTTTAAAACAGTGTATGAAACTATTATATACCTTATTCAGTTTTTCTGGCATCTTCTAAAATTTTGAGCCAAGGCTGGGTTTCCCGCTAGCCTCACACTAATCTTGGTGCTGTCCCTGGATGACCTTGGGTTTGGTTGTTAGGTCAAATGGCTTGGGAGAACAACATGTTGATCAACGTGATGGGGCAGGAGAAATTCTTCTTGTTCTGGCGCCTCCCTTTGCCAACACCCATTCTCTATTGAGGAAATGCAGTGGGAAAATCAGTCAGCCACTTTTTCCCACTCCTTACTCAGTCCTCCCCAAGGGGATAAGACTAGCTAAACTGATTAGTGAGGGAAAGCTGACTGTATTGTATTTTATTAGCATTTTCTCAAAAGTCAATACTCTACCCTGTTTGCTGCTAGTTGGTGAGGGCCTCTTTGCTTTCTGCTCCTATTGTCAGCACAGTTGGGACAGCTCAGGACCTGCTAAGCTCTTTTGCATCCTCTATTCTGTCAGTTACGAGGTGTGTGAGAGATAGCTTTGTGGGCATCCTTGCAGGAGTTGGGTGAGAGAGCTCAGCGTGTGTTCTGAAGACCTGTGTTCTTCTAAGGTCTTAGGTCAAGAGTTGGGATGGGAAGTAGGAGGCCTGACCGTTCCCTGCAGTTCAGCTCTTATGGAGAGTCATAGTAAAGTGTGCCCCTTGCTCTCCATCATTCCATGCCTGTTTGCTATCAGGTAGAGCCTGGTGGAGAGGAGGAGGCCAGTGATTGGCACTTGAAACCCCCAAGCTTCACAAGCCTTGAAATGTACAAACTGGCTGATGTAGCTTTTCTATTTCCTGGAATTTTTTGTAAAGAAGTAATTGAGAACGTGCTAAAGATTTAAGGATGGTCACTGATGTGTTGTTTAAAATAGTGAATGCTTGGAAGCAATCCAGATGTTCAACAATAGGAAGCTGGTCATATAAATTGTCTATTCATACTACACACCATTAAAAACAAGAAAGCATATCTATTGAAATAAAATGAGCTCAATATATTAATACATGGAAAGAAGAAAATTACATAATATCATGTAAAGTTTTCAAACCTAAAATGTTGTGGTCACATTAAGTTGATTACCAAACTATTGTCAGTATGATAGTGTTTTTTATCTTATTCTTTTCGCTTATGTATATTTTATAGTTTATTTGCAGTGAACATGTCTTACTTATAAAATGAAAAGGCCAAAAAAGACTTTAGAGGTAAAAAACCCACTTCCCTTTCTCAAAATGAGTCAAGTGGCAATAGAAGAATCTCTTGAAAAATATAAGCTATAAATCTCCATGAAAATAAATTAACAATTGGACTTCCCTGGTGGCACAGTGGTTAAGAATCCGCCTGCCCATGCAAGGAACACAGGTTCAATCCCTGGTCCGGGAAGATCCCACATGCTGAGAAGCAACTAAGCCTGTGTGCCACAACTACTGAACCTGTGCTCTATAGCCTGCAAGCCACGACTACTGAGCCCACACGCCACAACTACTGAAGCCTGCGTGCCTAGTCCCTGTGCTCCACAACAAGAGAAGTCACAGCAATGAGAAGCCCATGCACCGCAATGAAGAGTAGCCCCCGCTTGCTACAACTAGAGAAAGGCTGCATGCAGCAACAAAGACCCAAAACAGCCAAAAAAAACAAAATTAAAAAAAAATTTTTTAAATAATTTTTTAAAAAAGAAAATAAATTAACTCCCTTAAAAAGTTCTTTCCCTTCCTCCCTCCTTTTCTTTTTCTTTCCCCAAACTCCATCTATAAGGGACAAATTCATAAGTTAGGGGAAAAATTAGACTGTCCCAGATTTTTAGCAAAGGATTCATAGGGCATTTTAAAGTTTCACTGTGAAAGACAGTTATTTATTAGCTTCAGTTAGGCACTGTTTCTTCCTGGGATGTGTCATATGAGAAAATATGAGGTTCCAATCCATGTAGACAGGCAAGCTTCCAGCTGAATGCTTCTTCCAGCAGGCAGGAGAGCTCCATGCCTTGGGAACAACTCTTCTATCAGATTTCACCTTAAACACTTATTGTGTGAATTCAGACAAGCTACTTAACATCTCTAAACTCTAGTACCCTCATCTGTAAAATACGGATAATAATGCCCATCTTGCAGGACTGTTTTGACATTTAGAGATGACATACGCTGAGTTTGTAAAAATAGCCTGGCACACACTAGGCTATGATTAATGATTCAAGGTCCTGAACAATTCACAGGTAGATATGAACACAGGTGGTCAGGGAGAGGGGAATGTGCACCAAATTGCACAGAGTACCTTGCTGTGGACACACACATACACACACACAACAGAGCACTCACAAACACACCCAGGCTGAAGTCATCTTACTTACAGAAGCAGGAACCTCATCAAGCTGCCTCCCACCGTGGTTGGAAACAATGATGCCATGGACATTGTGCTTCACAGCTAACTCTGCATCCTCTTTTGTCAAGATCCCCTTAAGGATGATGGGCAATCGAGTCATGCTCTGAAACCAGGAGAGATCATCCCAGCAGATGGATGAGTCAATGGGGGACATCTGGAGATAAGGCATTAAATTTCCCTGTGGGGGAATAAAAGAGAACTTTAGTCCTGAACTCCTTCAAGACTCCCATTCCAAAGATGGGACACATTTGCAGAACCACCAAGAGCTTGAAAACAGGGCCCAAAAAACCCAACACTACTTCTAGCTCCTTTTCCTAACAAAATTTGTGCAAAAGACTTTTACTTCCATTGCTTATTCATTAACCATTACTTGTGTCCCTGCTCAATAATTATGCCAAGATCTGGGCACATAAAGACAAAAATAAGACACAGTCCTTACTTAAAAAAAAAAAAAACAAACACCTCAGAGTTTAGTAAGTGAGACAGATAAGCAAAAACATTTATAGGCCATTGTGATGTGTTATGATTGAGATATGCACAGGGTAACAAGAACTAAGCAACACTTCAATAATCTTAAGTCAGATATTATCCAATATTTATCTTGGCTCATCATGTGAGTCAAATATCTATAGATCCCAATGTGTCCCTGGAATCTAAGATTCCAGAAAACCTCAAGGCCAATTTGTGGTTAATGAGTAGAACTGTTGAGTCACTTGGCTGGGTATCAGAGCTGCCCGTTGGCTGAAAAGGCTGATATCACTACCTCTAATATAGCCAAGGGATTCCAACTTTGCCATGGCTTTCTCTCTCTGGGGCACTCCATCCCTTTGGACTATAGGATTTTAATGGGAGAAGTGCCCTTTGTAGTCACCTTGTCTAAACAAGTGTGCTGTAGCACTCTGGTGCCCCGTGGATGAGTTCTAGGTGTGCAGAGAGATTTCCTCCCCAGTTTTCAAGGGAGGAGGGTGGGGCTTGGGCTGACTACACACCATGGGCCATTCACCTTGGGTATGAGCATCCTCTTCAGATAGTCAATTTATCTAAGTATGCCATCCAGACTGAGCATTTTCTAAATGTGGCATAAAGTAGAAAATGTTGGAAGAACTTTTTAGTTTGCTCTCCTATTTCATGAAAAATCCTCTCCCTAGCTCTCCTATTTCCCAGAAACCAGCCCTGCCCAGAACATTTCTGGGCTGCCGGGGATGAGAAAGAACATTTTGTCTTATATTCTGCTTGTCTGGAAGTTCCGGGCAGCAGGAACCATATCTGCTTCTTGAACTGCTGCATCCCTAGTGCCTGGCACAGAACAGGTACCCAATGACTTCTTGAGGAAAGAAAGGAAAGAGGAAAGAGGGATGGAAATCTACCTCCTGTAACGCCTGCCCGCCTGGCTCTGGTATCTTTCCTACCTTCTCAGGTGATCCGAGATCTTTTAGCAGTAAGTTCTTCATCAAGTTCACTTGGTTTGTAATGTTGTGTCGTCTGTTGCCAATTTTGGGTACATCCACAGTGATTACCAGAGCTTTGAAACCCAGGGATTCTACCTTTTGGATCAGCTGTTTGTTTAGCTGCCTGTTTGGGTGCACATACAGTTGGAACCATCGCAGGCCCCCGGGGGCAGTGGCAACAATGTCTTCAAGGCTACAGCTGGCATACGTGCTGGTGATGTAGCAGATACCGGCTGCTTGCGCAGCTGCAAAGCAAAGGACACAACTCAGGTTGGAGGGCAGAGGCATTCTGAACTGGGGTGAGATGCCCTAGGAGTCTGTGTTGCCTCTGGCCAGCTTGCCCTTGAGTGAAGATAAAGCTTGACTTCATTCTGCTTCCCTGTCAGGCAGGCAGGCATTGCACGTGTTTGATCAGATTGTCTGGGTCCTCCTCTGTATAACCTGTCTTACAAACTCTGTATTTCAGGCTAGAGATGACCTTGAGTCCCCAGAACCATCTGAAGGTGTTGCGGCTTTCAGATAGGAAATGGGCTTCTTGTGCACTCATCAGTGAAGCAGAAGGGAATTAAAGAAGGCAAAGGATGAGAAAACGTAATTCCAATGGAGAGGCATGAGCTTTGCAGCAGAAAAAGCATATGCTATCTGGAGTTAGAAGAATGCGAGTTCTACCACTTCTTAGCTGTGTGGCCTTGAGTCTCATTTTCTTTATCTGTAAAAGGGCAGGGTGGGGGGATAATAATACCTCTCTTATACGGCTGTTGCAAGATTAAATAAGATACTAGCTATGGAAGCATTTTTTTAAAAATTATGAAGTGAGGTACTATACAAATACTAGGGATAATGAGGATGATGACGACGGTGACAATGATGTGCTGATCGCATCTTTCTCATTTCCCACTTTAATCATTTTCAGGGGATTCCCCAACAGGTTAATGTCACTACCATCCTACAACCCATGGGCAGAGAATCTGACCTAATCACAATGAATATTTTCAATTCCTAATGTCAACAGGAGGTACCCCATTCTCCTGCTCCACCCCCAAAACAACACAGCACACTCAACCGTGAAGATTTTGTAAAGCAGTCATATTCATACAGGGTATTCATATTTCAACTTAGCCAAATTTGGTTCCTAACCAGATGGATGTCCCTTTCAGCTCTAGAATCCATGGATTCATTGCTTCCTATATCACAGAGTCAAAGGAGAGGACCCCAGGGAAGCCATGGGCAACTTGAGCAAAAACAGATTTGGCTTAGGGTGAAGATTACAAATGAGTCACAGGAATATTTTTACCCCCTGTCCTTCCTTTCTCCTCTCCTTCTCTTCTTTTCTCCTTATTTTTTAGTGGTGGCAGATGAGGGAAGAGAACTCAGGGGTACTAGGAAGGAAACAAAACCCAATGAAAAACTTTCTGTCAAATAAGATGATCAAGTCAACTGAGGAGAAGGGAAATGGAACATTTGGACAAGAGCACCTGCCAGGGCCTTGTGTTAGGGCTTAACGTCATGACTTTCTCCTCATCCTAAATTCAAGGGCACACCATTCAGTCCCAGCCCTGGCCCATGAGGGTTCAAAGAGAGCCCTACCCTTGGGGCCACACTGAGCAGCCCTTTGCCCCCAGATGCTGTGTCAGAGGGGCCAGTCAGTGCCCCTCTTCCTTGGGATGGCTTGGTGGGATTTTCACCTCCTATTCATCTGTAGCTCCCTCCCACCCTAACCATTCTTTATAATGGAAAATTGGTATTTTCTCAATCTTAGGTGAAATGTTATGCAAACGTAGCTTTAAGCATTCCTTTTCCTACCCTTAATTCCAACCAGATTGCTGTCCCTAAGCCCCTTCTCTAGAGAAATTCTGGAGCTGTTTGCCCATGCTCTGAAGGACACCTCTGCACACTTTAAGGCCCTTGGGAAGGGAGCCTCAGCGTGGGCTGGGTTCACACCTCTGGCTGTGCTCATTTCTCCATCAGGCCAGGCGAGGCAGTGGAAACCCGTGGGTGCGATGCAAATGGGGGTGCTGATCTCCTCCCCTTGGATTGTGGTCCGCGTGTCCACCTTCGACACATCTTTCAGGTACCGGGGACGGAGGCGGATTCTGTGCTGGACAACAAAGAGATTTTCTATCGGTGGGATGACTCACCAGCATGGAGGTGCTGCTTAGTGCTGGGACCTCCAGACTCCTGATACAGATCTAGACCACACTGGGTCCCGAGAAACCACTGGCGGAGTCAGTTGGCTGGTAGCTGATTAGGCAGCATAGACAAGCTAGAGGCTCTGCTCCTCCGGAAGCCTCTCCTAACCCCCTATTCCACATGAACCCCGCCTTCTCTGAACTCCCGGGACACATATGGTCCACGCTGTGTCCTGCCTTTCTCCATCAGAGGACTGTGTCTTGGAGCTGTGCCTCCCTGACCAGGCTGTCGGCACCTGGATGCTTTGACTGATCCATCTTAACAAGGACTAGAAAGGGAAGGAATAAGCAGGACGGAGTTCCAGTCTCTTCCCTCTTAGGTTGGAAACAAATTTCTATAAAGCAAGAAAAGGTCATTGAAATAGAACAAATCCCAGAGAATGACCACGCCTTTTTTTTTTTTTTTTTTTGGCTAGAGCCTAATTCATTTGAAGATTTGACTTAAACACTACTTTAGAAGGTAGGGAAATTAACAAATAATAATTATATGAAAAGAACTTTTAAGTCGAACAGATACTTAGCTTCCGGGTCCAAAAGTGCTTGTTTTCCACAACATATTATTATTTCTATACGTAAACTGAGGAAGATTTTCCTGGAAATGCTGATTGTGCAAATTTGGGTAAGAGCCTCAGTTACTTCATCTGTGAAATGGGAATAATAATGCAACTTTCCTAATAGTCTTGTGAAGACACAATGAGATAAAGCAATTGAAGTGCCTAGTATAGTGTTAAACAAGTATGAAAATACAGAAGATAGCGTTCACCATGCATCCCATTTTCCAGTTTTCTCCTGATCTCTGTATCACAGAGGTCAGCAAACATTTTCTGTAAAGGGCCAGATGGTAAATGTTTTAAGCTTTGTGCCATGCGGTTTTTGTCACAATTACTCAGCTCTGCTGTTGTAATGCCAAAGCAGCCATGGACAATATGTAGATGACTGAGCATGGCTGTGTTCTAATAAAACTTACTCGTGGACACTGAAATTCTAACTTCATATAATTTGACATATTGCAATTCTTCTTCTTCTTTTGATTTTTTTCAAGCAGTTAAAAATGAAAAAAAAGCCCATCCTTAGTTTGTGCGCCATCCGAAAACAGGCAGTGGGCCCGACCTGGCCTGTGGGCTGCTCTTTACTGACCCCTGCTCTACCTGCTGCTGTGCCGCCCACCTCTTCTCCCTTGAATCAATCTTCTTTCATCCCCAAGACTCCTTGGGTCTCCATATTTCCTCCAGCCTTGAGCCCTCTCTCCTGTTCTGCCTCCAAGCCGGAAGTTCAGGAGCTCAGGAGATTTAGGTTTTCCCAGCCATTTTCTCCTCCCTGCCCAGGTGGCTGGAGACCTTGGGACTCTTGTCAGGGGCAAAGTCGCCGTGATCAGCACTCAGGCGACTCACTTATAGTAGTTCTGCAGAGGCACTGAGATAGATTGTCTCTCCATCCATGCTCTCCCCAGTCTCCTGTCTCCCGCCAAGAAAATCCCCCCAAATCCCAAACAACAACAGAAACTCATTATTATGTCTTGAGTACTCTATCTTCTTTGGAGGCAGAAACCAGGACTGCTACCTTCCAAAGAGCTCTCAACCCGTACATCTTAGCTTAGCAATAGAAAGGATACAGAAGAGCAGACTTTTTAAATGCTGCGATGTTGTCATCCCGCGTGAGGCAGTCATCAGCTCCTCCTTCAATAAAATCCCAGGTTGACTTAGACAGCTGCTCCCGTGCATGGGCCTCAAAGTCTGTCAAACACACCAAGGGCATTTCTGGACCTTTAAAGGAAAAGCCAAAACTGATCAAACAAAACCCACTAAGAATACTTCCAATATAGAGGAGAGGGTGGCGGCAGGGTGGACTACAGCATGAAGCTGTTTGGATTCAACATGAACCCCCTGTAATCTTTATCTCAAAGGAGGTGCTGCCAAAGATGCTGGTTCCAAGCCCCAAAGCAGGTAGTCATGCTGCACCCTTCCACTGTCCCAAGCCCCTCTCCCAATCCTGGTTATTGGGTCTTCTAAATATCCCTCAGGTCTGTCCCCTCATCTCTAGGCCCACTGCCTCAGATCTCGGTGAGGCCCCACCACCTCATATAAGATTATTACAAAAATTTCTTATCTTTGTCTCTTAGCCTTCAGATTCACTCTCCATCTTGTTTCCCTCCAGCTGCCCGGGATCTTTCTAAAAATGCAAGTCTGATCATGGCTCATGTCTTTCAAGTGCCCATGGCATGGCATTCACAGCCTCCCAGGACCTGGTTTCTGCCCACCATCTTCATTTCTTTGCGGCTTTTCCTTGTCTTTTGAGTCACTATGAGCATTTCCTGAGCATACCGGAGATTTATTTCATATTTTTGTGCTCTTTTGGAAGGATATCCATCAGGGTGATAAAACTGGGTCTGAACAGATACTAATGCCTGGAAGTTCTCAGGAATCTCTGGATGTGTGAATATGGGGCTGTAGCTGAGTATGAGGGATGAGGCTGGCTTTTGCGACTCCCTGGTTGGGTCATTGAACATGGCTAATTTTGAGACCAAGAAAACAACATGTGCTCCCTCCATTCATTCCCATCCCAGTCTGAATTCCGTACACCTGGAACTTCTGCTACCACCGCCCCTGAAAGAGGGAAGAGGGCAGTATTGTGGGGTACATCCTTCCAGTAGGGGCAAGGGCAGAGGGAACAGTAGCTACAGAGATGCTGAAGGCGCTGGTAACAGTCAGTCTCAGCTTGTAGAGCTTCTGTGTAAGAGGATTCCTCTAGGCAGGGTAGGGAAATCTGTAGTTCACAGCGCTGCGTGTCTTCCCAGCAGTTGGCAATGGGGTAAGAATTAGCCAAAGGCTCTGAGTAGAAACTGAGTGATTTCCAGGTTATTGTCTGAGGAATAGGGATAAGCCCCAGGGACTAGACTAGGGCTTCAAACACGAATGGGGCAGCTCCTCTAATGAACAAGGGGGCCAAGGAGGCCAGATGAAATGTGGGGTGCTGGGAATCTTGGTAGGGGTATGGCTGTGCCAGAATCTAGTTAAATCGTACAGGAAAGTAGTTCCAAATACCCAGCTAAAGGGCTAAGCAGAAAGAAGTTATATGACAGATGAGAAACAGCCCCCGGGATGCGCCATGGATTCTGAGAGGAGGCCGGGAGGTGGACTTTGGAGCACAGCCACAGAGCTTTTTATAGGCAGTACACCTTGTCAGTGGGTGGGCAGGGAGCAGTTGAGGTGCTGAGTTGAGTTTGACAAAGTACAGCAACAATGTCTAACTTATCTCATTCCTATCTGACCCTTCAAAGGCTCAGTAACTTTAATCGAACGAATTAATTATTATAATTATCCAACTGTATTGCAATCAGTTATTTAAACCTCTGTGTGCATAAAAGAGTTAATATAGCAGGCCTGAGAATGCTAGTCTTCAAAAGGCCTGCATACAAGGTTGGCCCTTGGCTGGAGTCTGGGACCTTGGATTTCAGGAGGGTTCCCACTATCTTCTGATAAGAATGTCTCTCTGTGTCTAAACTATTTGTACAAACAATGTGCTCTATGCTGAACATCTGCTTTCCCTCTGAGAGTCTAGAATTTTGGTATGGGTTAGGCAGAGCATGTCCATATGACCAACCCCCAACAAAAAACCTGGGGCACCAAGTCTCTGAAACGAGCTTCCCTGGTAGACAACATTTCACACGTGTTGTCACAACTCATTGCTGGAGGAATTAAGTGCATCCTGTGTAGTTCTACTGGGAGAGGACTCGTGGGAGCTTATACTTGGTTTCCTCTAGATTTTGCCCCATGAGCATTTTCCCTTTGCTGATTTTGCTTTGCATTCTTTCACTGTAATAATCCATAGCCTCAACTATCTGCTGTGTCCTGTAGGTCTTCCTCGTGAATCACTGAACCTGAGACCCTCCCCGCCCCAGCACAGTTTGTATCTCCAGGCAGTAGGACAGTGTGTGACACTGAGTTGCTGTTCATAAATATTCATTACTTGAATTTAACATTCCCCTGTGTGTCGTCTCTCTGCCTTGTGCGATGAGAATTCTCCATCAAGTTTCAACTCCCGATGTCTCAACAAATCCCCATATCCTAAACATTACACACTCACAGAAATGTTCTTCTGCAGATTTCTAGCATAAAAACTCAACAATGGGGGCTTCCCTGGTGGCGCAGTGGTTGAGAGTCCACTTGCCGATGCAAGGGACACGGGTTCGTGCCCCGCTCTGGGAAGATCCCACATGCCGCCGAGCGGCTGGGCCCGTGAGCCATGGCCTGCGCGTCCGGAGCCTGTGCTCCGCAATGGGAGAGGCCACAACAGTGAGAGGCCGGCGTATCGCAAAAAGAACCCCAAAAAACAAAACAAAACTCAACAATGTTTATTTCTAATCCAAGGGAAATGACACAGCTTCACTCAGAATTACTTGCCTGGAATAGTGTGAATTACATCATCTGAAAGCTGCTTGGAAATAAATAAATAACCCAGCATCTTTATATATACCAAACAGAGTTTTATCAATTTCTATCTACTATTTCCTCTTCCACCTACTATTTCCTTTTCACTTCCCTGTGAAGTAGACAGAGAAGGTATTAGTCTTTCCATTTTGCATTTGAAGAGAACGGGATCTAGGAAGCAAAATAACTTGTGAAAGATCAGGCAGTAAATTATTACAGGGGAAGGCTCAGAATCATATCTTCTGGTAGCTTCTAAAGGTAAACATTCTCCATGTTCAATTTCATGGTGCAGACCAAAGTAGTTGGTTCATCTAAATTACTTGTTATATTGAATTTAAAAGAATTTTGTAGGGACTTTCCTGGTGGTCCACTGGTTAGGACTCCATGCGTTCAATGCAGAGGCAGTGGGTTCAATCCCTGGTCAGGTAACTAAGATCTCACATGCCACGTGGTGAGGCCAAAAAAAAAAAAAAAGTTAGCATTAAAAAAAAAAAAAAAAGTTAGCATTAAAAAAAAAAAAAAAGGGATTTCCCTGGTGGTCCAGTGATTAGGACTCCACGCTTCCACTTCAAGGGGCACGGGTTCGATCCCTGGTCGGGGAACTAAGACCCCACATGTGGTGTGGCCAAAGGGGGGGAAAAAAAAAGAATTTTGTAGGGTGAGAATACACTTATGTTGCATTTTTCCTTTTCATAAAGAAAAGTGCAACATAATTGTTGCATGAATATTTGTATTGATAGCTATTAATATTTCATAGCATATTTAAAGCCTAGTAGAGTCCTGAGCCCATTATTTTTACTAGCGGTCCAATACAAGGCTTATAACTGAAGGGAAGGGCAACTGTGTTGTTCAAAGTTTTTCCTATTTGGGAATGAAACTAAGCACTATATGTTTTTATGTATTTCAGTTTGATCCATACAGGCTTTAAAGCCACCAGAAATTAAAGGGAGGGTGCAAGTTGTCTAACGTGTGTTTTTTGTGTTCCCATTTTATTTGATCTCCATTCCAGTATGTTTTCTTCTTTTATCTTCTACTCCAACTGTGAAAGAGGAAGAGAAAGGGGAGAAAAGGATGAAAATCTCTTGCTCACTGACCAGGAACTTAGCTCATTTAATCTGTTTAGCCTTTTGGTCTAGGGTAAAAAATGAGGTGCAACTTGTATACCAGTGATAAGGAAGCTAAAATCTAAGAGCAAGGGCACTCAGTGGTACCTGTTGCTAACGATCTGAAGTTCAAATTGTTTTCCTGGAGTGAGGGAAGGGGGAGGGACATAGACTGGCGCTGGCTGGAACTTCAAGGCAGATTTTGCTTTCTTCAATGTTACTGTTTGATCAAACGCAGTTAGTCTAGATAACAACCTGTCTTCCTTTGAAGTTTCATATGGCGCATATGATTCATGTTGATGTCACTTTAGGAACACTTCCGCTTGTATGAAAAACACCTAGGCATTCTGTAAGAAATCTCAGGGGGAACATCATGGGGCAGGTCATTGAGATCCAAGGGGGAATCTCAGGAGCAGGTGGTTGGTCTACTTTAGGACCCTTTGGCCTGGTCCCCTGGGAACTTATGTCAAGTTTCCCAATGGAGCGGTAGAGATAATGTCAAGGCTACACTTTGGGGGCCTTGTTTGAGAGATTACCCTGTTCAAGGTTGTCTGAAAGTGCTTTAATCTCTCTGTGGGTGACAGCCTCAAGGAGAGTGGCTGCAAAGCCTGGAGCCATCGCCATAGCAACGGTGGCATTGGCACAGGAGAAGCTACTGCAGGAGGAGGCCCTGGTAGTAGAAGGCATGGGGGCAGGGCAAGGAGGGGGCCTGGGGCTACTGGAGCCACAGGCAGTGCTGGGACCAGGAAGACAGGCATCTACAACACCCGTGACTGAGGCAGATGAGCCCCCAGGGAGCCCCCGAGCAAGGTCAAAGTAAAGGGCTTGGATTCCCAGGAACATCAGGTCAGATATCAGAGTAAAGATGAGACCGGAATGTCCCTAACACTGGAGTGGCCTGAGGAACCAAGGATGACATTTGTATAGGAATGAGGGGACGGAGGGCCCAGTGTCGGTCTGACAGGCGCGAGTAATCAAATACCGCAAGAACGGACCCAGGGTCCTATCAGCCCAGGATCAGTTCTGGCCTTTTCCCTGAGCCCTCCCACACTGAACTGAGGACTCAGGGCCCCTTCCAGGACATGATGGCCATGTTTTCAATTTATTCTGTTTTGTGAACTAATAATCTGTCCTCTCCAGCCACTGCCTCACCACCCACTCTCATTAGCCCGTTTTCCTTCCCAGGCATTAAAACTCCCCTGGTGACCTGTAGGCACGGTCTACTACGAA